CTATGTTGTTCTTCATCGGTAAAATTCTAAAATTTGTTCTCTCCTTCTCTAAGTTGTTACGGACTCAAAATCAAATTGATGTTATTTTTAAACTAGTATTCATTTCGTAATTGTTAATTTTTGTTGTAATCTCTTTTGCTATTTTATCCTATACATTTTTTAAATTTACATGTCTTTAATTATGTTTCTTTTGTCTCCAGTTCATTTTCTAATTTTGTGGAGGTAAAGATAGTTGATTAATGAGTTTTTTTATTAAGAAATTGATTTTTGTTGTGGTTTGGCACTACCCTTTTTTTTTTTAATAATTGATCACTAAGTTTATTTTTGATTTGTTTTTCCAAGTTATTTTGATTTTTCTTCTCATAAGCTTTGGAAATTAGAGGGGATTTCATGAGGTCAAGGAGATGAAGCTTTCTAGACTAAGTTTAGATTTACTTTGCAGTCGAAATTACCAAAAAAGTACAACGTAACTTCTGTGTCTCTTTAGAGGAGATATAATGTCTTAGACTGTAAACACTTTTACAGGGTATAACTCTATATACATGGTAGTGGCAAAAAAGAAATCTCATCTGATATATTCAAAAGCCGTTCTTCAGCTGTATGTTACTGTGCACGTAGTCTTGCCTGTGACCTCTCATAATTGTTGGTGTTGTATATAGGGGGTCATTCCTATAAGGTGATCCAGCAAACTTCAAGGAAGGGGAGTTACGCCCATTACTGGAAGGTTATACTGGAAAACAGAAATGATAATGGACAGAACTATACCTGGGTCAGACAACATCGATGTATTTGATTTCCTATACTAGACCGATTGTAAAAATTACTTTTTGTTTAATATAAATAGAAGTTTATATGATAATTTTTAATGCATGTTAATGAAGTTTGATTTAAATTTTTAATGAAATATTTAGTGACAAGGTTTAAGAAGAAAAAAGAGGAAGAAACAAGAATGAAAAAAGAAAAGAAAAAAGGCGTGTAGAAAATTGTTAAACAATCTACGGCGACGAAATTCGTTTTTCCGTTGCTAAAAATCTTTCGTGACGAATTTCAAATTTCGTCGCCATAGGTGCCTTTGGCGACAAAATCAATTTCGTCACCATAGACTTTTGGCGACGAAAATAATTTCGTCACCAAAGACCTCTAACGATGCAATATGAGATTTCATCGCCAAAAGTCTATCTTGATGGGGCTATGCCAATGAACTTGGGGACGGAAAAAAATCGTCGGGAAAGAGTTTTACCGACTAAATATTGACCTTTAACGATGATTTTATGGGTCGGAGAATTGAGGAAACAAAAAATATGAATGTTACCCATAGTTATAAAGGAATAGTCAATATTGTTGGAAGCTCAAAATAATTCTCATCTCTTTTAATTAAATTTTATATTTCTACTTTTTAGATATATATCTTTAAAATGGCACAAATTTTTAATTTTTCAAATATAATACAAGTTAAAACTTTTTTTTTTATTTGTGTGTTTTGCGTATTTGAGTTTGAGTTAAAGTTTAAATTATATATTTTGTAAATTTTTAAACTTTCTCCTATATTTAAAACTACATATTGCTAGAAAGAGATATTAAGGCAGTAGTCAAAACAAAGGGGATGGTGGTTTGGTTGGGTGAGAGGGTGTCGGCTAGGTCTAAGTAGCCTTGGCACCAGC